CATTGAAAGCAATGAAGATTTTTGAGGTTTTGAACCAAACTAAATAACTAGTAAAACCTTTTTTTTGATTTACGGTGTTTTCTTATTTTGATGTTTTGAGCTCTTTTGTGTATAGAACAATATATACTAACTTTTAAAGTATCAAATTGAATTTTTGTTCAGTAAATTCTTTCAAATGCGACTGTAGCTTTTTTCCCCAAAAAACTTTGTCTTCAAAATAAGGGTGCGTCTTATATTCCGAAAAATACAGTACCCGTCTATTATATATGTTGTTGACACATTTGTCTATACTTCTTGTGTTGAGTATTTAAATGTTATAATCATTGTTTACTTATCCACTGTGGATATTGTTGACATGTTTGTCTATACCTCTTTTGTTGAGTGTTCGAACGTTGTAGTCATTGATTACTTACCTGTCTACTATAGATATTGTTGACATGTTTGTCTATACTTCTTTTGTTGAGTGTTCGAACGTTGTAGTCATTGATTACTTACCTGTCTACTATAGATATTGTTGACATGTTTGTCTATACTTCTTTTGTTGAGTGTTCAAACGTTGTAGTCATTGATTACTTACTTGCCTACTATATATATATTGTTGACATGTTTGTCTATACTTCTTTTGTTGAGTGTTCGAACGTTGTAGTCATTGTTTACTTACCTGTCTACTATAGATATTGTTAACCCGTTTGTCTATACCTCTTCTGTCGAGTGTTCGAACACCAGAGGAAGATGGGTGGTGTTGGGGACCTCCCACAGGTGGTACGGGGAGTGTATCATATGGAGTGGCGTACGGATGACCTTCTTCTGGTGAGATAAGGTAATTGAAATATTATTTCATATATATATATAATATAAAAAAGGCTTTAACAGATCTTAAGGTCAACACTAATGTAATAATATCTCTACGTCAATTTTAAGCATGTAACATGTTACATTATATTAATGTGATACACTTTCAAATGAGATGATTTTTTTAAGTTTCTTCTACACATATTTTCTTGAACACTGAGAATGAAAATGAGAGAATTATAGTAATAACCAAATAACACCTAGTTTAAAGCTTCACCTTTAGGGGTAGGGGAAGCAGAAGATATCTTTTGAAAAATTAAAACATATATACTTGAAACGACTTAACTTCTCATGAAATTTTACTATTTGCGTATCAATAAACAGATTTTTTTGTAATAAAGCATTTTATTATAATTATGAGTTCATTTTACGCTTTTGTGTAAAATGACATTAACTCTGTGATAGAAAACGTAAAATAAGTGCATTTTACTTTCCAGTTGAACAATAGAAAAGGCTACATGTTATAATACCAAGAAGGGTTTAATGTTAAAAAATCGTATTATTTGTACTCCAGTGCAAAACATCACCAGATGGCGATAAATATGTTTGTTTGTTTTTTTAGCGTTATAAGCCTGCAGACTTACCACTGGGCCATTAAGGGCAATGGCAATAAAAGCAGTGTTTTGATCATCACAGAACTGCTGTAAATTCTAATGATTTGATAATTTTTATTTATCTATATACTACTAAAACTCTGAGATTGTTTGTTTGTGGGGTTGTCTGTAATTAAATACTGCAAAAACGGCGCACAATACCGCCATATTTGTAATGAAATGAGAATAGAAACAGAATAAAACAAGTTTCGTTAAAATCGGGCCACGGGTTACCGAGTTGGTTCCGTTTTTCGGGTCATTTTTATGAAAATTTCTCGAGTAATTTAGGTACACTAGATGGCGCTACATATCAGTTTATCTATTCGTTTAACACCTGATGAATCACTTTAAAATATCTTCTATACAACAATATTTGCACAACAAAAATTAAATGATGAGATGAAAATGTGTTATAACGGCGCGTAGAAAGAACAACAATAAAATGGACCTACAATATTATTGACTATTTGCAGATAGTAACTATGAAGACGAGGTATTAAAATAAAAATCAAGTCGAGAACAACAAAAAAATTTTATAAACGAAAATCTGTCGCCGAGCTATTTCCTGTCAATGTTCCCATCTTCATTAAAAGGCGTAAGATGACAAAAACAAGATATTGAAGAATCTATCTATCTATATACTACTAAAACTCTGAGATTGTTTGTCTCTTTGTTTGCTTATTTTCTCAGTCAAAAAATCATTCGCACTACCGTTCGCGCTCTTTATGAAACTTCACCGGTTACCGAGTTAGCGCCGTTTTTCGGGTCACTTTTATGAAAATTTCTAGCATGAGAAATTTTACATCACACTACCGTTCGCGCTCTTTACGAAACTTCTTTGTTCAAATCTATTTCCCTGTCAATGTTCCCATCTTCATTAAAAGGCATAAGATGACAAAAACAAGATCTTGAATAATTTCTCAATAATGTGCCTTGGTTATGATAGATAATTCGAAGAAAAAATAAAGTGTTACTGTTTCTTATTTGTAGAAGGTTTAAGAGGAAAGACCACAACATAATGAACTAATTCATCACAATACCTGAAAACTCTGACTTCACTTTTTGGAAAAATGAAATGGTCTTTACTTTTACTCCCGATCAACAATCAAATATCTTTTCTTGAATTATGAATAACATGAATGGATTGAAATATTTAATTAAATTATCTCAAAATAAACCTTCATTTCAGTGCAAGATTGTAATTAGCTTGAAATTCTTCATAACCTCTGAATAGTGGGTGACCCAACGGGTCATGGGTTGTCTAGTTACCACTAAATTTTCATACAACCTATTTCATATTGTTGGATAGATATGGAACATAAATTTTTCATCAACAAAAAAAAGGCTTTACATAAGAAAAATTAATTATTTCCAAACCTTCCTTTTTGAAGGAAGTTTATTTTTCTTCACTGAAGCAAGGCCTTTCTTCGTCTTGGTTTTTACTTTTTCAGATTGTAACTGTGTATTTTCTTTCGCTTGGTCTGTCTCTTTCTGTTGGACCTCCTCAAATATCTTGGTTTCTATAGTAGCAAAACGATATTTAGGAGGAAGAAGAGATGAATTCTTGTTCACAGATACATTGTCTACATTTATATACAAATAATAAAACTTAAAAAGTAATTTATTTTCTATGTATGAGACAAAGATTATCTAGAATAAAAATACTGAGATTTTCATATTTTTCTTGTGTCATCCTTAAAAAAATTTATGTACGTTTTTCTTTCTATTTCTAAATATAGAGTAAATTGGGTGATTTTAAACACAGCATCATGTTCGATGGTCTAAAATATTCTTTATGGAAAATTATACCAGAAAATAAAATAACAACACTAATTTCAGAAACGAAATGGACATTATTAAAATAATTACTTCAGAATATCGTTCGTCATTTTAAAATGATTTCAGATATATTTGGTGTTTATGGTGGTACTATTTTTTCATTACCTCACGACTTAATGGCATATAAGTTATTCAATAAAATTGTTCTATCTCAGAAAAAAAAAATATTGTATGCTATTCAGATTAAACTGTTACAGATTATACCACAAGCTATTCTATTCAATTACAAACGATACATCTCAGGTTTTATCCAGTTGAAACTAAAGCTTTCATAAAATTCTATATTACGACGTGTATGATCTAGCAACTTAAACTTCATCTGGAGAAAAACATGTTTTTGGAAACTGAACTTAACTGAAGCTTACCTAATACAGCGTTCCCTGGAACTTTATTTCTGAAAAATATTTGTACCAAATATTTACAAAGAGCAGGTATGATATGAATTCATGTTTACATAAAAGTAACTAGAAATCTGAGAATTTTGAAAAGATAAAAACAACAAGTAAATCACTTTCTTGAAAAACATGAAACAGGAATATAATTATGATATTCGTTTTTGTCTAATGCTGTAGTTGAAAATACTGAAAGCAAGTTGAATTTGTATTTTTCATTTGTGAAGAATCCAGGAGTTTTGTATCAACGAATATTTTATTTATTTTAGTTTTAGGTAAGGATAATTTCTTAAAAACTTGAAAAGTATGATTTGAAGAGAGAAGTAATATATGCAGAGAAGGTCTGCAAGCTGTGAAAATACGAAATATGTAAACAGGATTATTATCATAATACCAACATGATTTCCTTCTTCTTACTGGTGGGTTTAATGGTTTATGGCAGTGCTTGTTAATCTAGAATTAACCTATAGCCGTTCTTGTTTTCCCTAATATCACTCAGTGGATCAGCGGTAAGTCTGTAGGCTTACGACGCTAAAATTCTGATTCCGATACCTGTGGTGGGCAGAACACAGATAGCACATTGTGTAGCTTTGTACTTAACAATAACCCAAAAAATTGTTTCTAATATTAACATGTTTCTCTTATAATAAAGATATAAGGAGAGTAGAAAACATTTCGTGACAGTGAACGTGTGGAACTTCGATATATTTCAAATGAAACCAGTTTTTCTTGGAAACAAAATTCCGAAGATAAGTGTATTGTGTTACTAAGTGTGTGTATGTACAGGGATGTTTGAGTATTGCACGTAAGTTATTTTGTTTTAGCTTGTACGCTTGATGCTTAATATGGGGTGCTCGCTTCACAATCTGTAGGTCGCGGGGTCATCGAATACGTTCACCCTTTCAGCAATGAAGAAGTTATAATGTGACGATCAATCCCACTATTCGCTGGAAGAGTTGGCGGTGGGTAGTGTTGTATAGCTGCTTTCCCTCTAGCCTATCATTTCCTATCACTTCAGAATTAGCGACAGCTAACGCAGATACCCTTCAAGCAGTCTTGCACGAAATTCAGCAACCAAACAAGGAAGTTTAGAACAGCTTACATGAATCGGTATTTACTGTATAATCTAAAGTGTTTAATAATCTATGATATTTTCACTACACATTAATAAAGTTCAATATTTATTAAAGAAGCTTGACTAACAAAATATTTTAGAAACAAGAATTAATTTATTGTTTTTTTATTCTTCCCTTTATTGATCTTAGAAAGTGTTTGTATATTATTATTATTCATACTGTAAATTATACTTTAAAGTTTATTGTCGCTTTTTTACATTTTCTTAAGCTTTAACAGATCATTATTTACAAATTGTTGACACTAAATAGACTGATTATATTTTTTTCAAAAGTTACATATCGTGTGGGTTTTGTAGTGTTAGCTTTTTATTTATATTTCTGTGAAAATACACATAAAAGCTATTGACGATCGCCATCTGGCGACCATAATAACAAGTAATACTAAATAAAGCATTACACAGATTCCAATGTTTTTTTCTTATCAGTGAAGATTTTGGAAAGTTTAACGCTTCAAGTGAGGGAAGGTTTTGAAATAACTTTAATTAAAGTGCTCTTCTACTTATTCTAATCTTAGGTTATAATATGTTACCTACTTTAAGAGCTCGAACTCCTTCTGTAGTTGAAAATTATTTTTCTTGAGACTGGATATTTCAGCTGTAAAAAGTGAAACGAAATTAAGGGATATAAGCGATGTGTAAAAATTAAAAGCATGTCTGGTGAGGCTAAGGAAATAATTTTATTCCCTTGAATCAGCAAAGTAGAATTATAAAACATTATATGTAAAATTAGATGTGCACAATATAATTCATCAGCTTTTAATTAGATCTATATCTGTTTCCCAACACGTGCTTACTTAATGGAAATAGAAACTAAAACTAAAATTAATTAACATGGAAAATAATTTTTGTTTCTGCCAACTGAACAAAAAACTGTTTTGGTGGCCAAGGAAATTCTGAAATATTAAAAAGTTATAAAATAAGTGTTCGGTTTTCTCATTAGATTTCATTTAGAAATTATTTGTCTTTTGCTCTTTGTACACACAAATAATATTATGAGTCTGAGAATAATATCTGATAAGCTTTTACATATAAATGTATTTTTTTAAGTTTCAAACAAAGTTTGACACTGAAAACATTTATGGTGGAATATATGCACCTAAATACAGCAAAACATTAAACCACGCATCGGTTTATTAAGTTTAAAATCTTGTCGTTATTCACTGGTAAAATAGTGAGCAACCTTACCTTCAAGCTCGTTACTTCTTTCGTCTTTATCCTTGGTATTATTATGACACTTTTCCTATATAAAGGTATAAAAGTAAATTAGGAAAGCCTACAGTTTTACAATTAAATCTTACTGTGAATAGTTACGTCAAGTGAGTAGATTATAAATAACTTTGTCTAGTAACAAGCGAGTAGATTATAAATAACTTTGTCTAGTAAATGCAAAATTTTCCTATTTAACTCCTATTTTATTATGTCGCAACTTGTTAGTCATAAACAAATTGTCTATCGAACAGACTAATAGTGCATGTTTCACTAGTAAAGCTGTGTTTGCTAATTTGGTTTGTTTGGAAGTTCGCGCACAGCTACACGAGGGCTATCTGCGCTGACCGTCCCTTATTTAGCAGCGATAGACTAGAGAGAAGGCAGCTAGTAATCAACATCCGCCGCCAACTCTTGATCTACATTTTTTACCAAACAATAGTGGAATAGATCGTCACATTATAACGCCCCTACGGCTGAAAGGGCGAGCATGTTTGGTGGGACGGGGGCTTCGAATCCGCGACCTGCAGATTGCGAGTAGAATGCCATGCCAGGCCACCTGGCCATGCCAGGCCTAAAGTGTTTGCTAATATAAATAAAAGTTTGACTTTAAGAATCTGAAGAATTATAAAAGTGTTTATTTTTACATGTGTTCAAGCAATACGAGCTTAACCAGAGTAGTTAAATCTGTCAATAAATAAACAAATTATATTCAAACAACTTATTGTTACATCATATAACTATAGTTATAATTTCATCATTATCTTATTTAGGGGCCTAGGCAGGCTACAGAGGTCGTGGTAAAGAAATATTTTAAAATAATATTTTAGGCTATCTTTTGTAATGTTTTGTTCAATTTTGTATTTATTATTGTGTTCTATACAATAAATATAGAACAGATTGTCGAAATAACATTTATATAACTGAATATAAGCGATTACTTTACAAACTACTAAACATTAGGCTATTTCTTTTAACTTCAATATTAAACAAAACAAATAATTATGTTCAAAATTATAATATTTCAGATTTAAGAAACTAAATATTTTAAATGTTTTCTCATTGCATGTATTTCCATATTCAACTTCAACACATTATCTGTGTATTTCCCCACCCCCTAGTGGCACAGCGGTATGTCTGCGGACTAACAACGCTAGAAACCGGGTTTCAATACCCGTGGTGGGCAAAGCACAAATAGCCCTTTGTGTAGCTTTGTGCTTACGCACAAACAGGAGGAACTGCGTATTTTTTTCTAAATTTTATGTTTTGCATAGACTTCTTCATGCTCTAATCTATAACACTAAGGCACAAAAACAACGTTATAAAACATAAATCAAAACACTATTTTTAATACAAAGTACCTGATTGCAGCCTGCCTCCCTTTAGTTCAGCTGTAAGTCTAAGGGCTTATAAGGCTAAAAATCAACCTTCATACTCGTGGAGGGCACAGCAGACATAGCTCATTGTGTAGCTTTATGCTTAAAGACAAACAAACAAACTGAAGGCAATACGAAGCTACCGAAACGTGTCAGGTGATTTGTATTAAAAACAGTGATTTAATTCATGCTTTATAACGTTGTTTTCATGTCTTAGTTTTATAAATCGCTGTGAAATAAATTATAAGGCTTTTAGTCTTAGAGGTTCGTCATATATACCTAAAATATGCACGACTTTCAAACTGAAAAATTATTTATTAAATGAATTATATTGTTAGAGTGAAATAATTCAAGTTTCAGACTATGAGGCGGAACCAACATGTGTTTTTCTGTTTTCAAGAGCTTCAACAATAAGTAAAAGACTTAATATAGCAACAAACCCATCTTTTACAGATGGTTGCTGTGACGTATGAGTATTGCTTCATGTGTTCCAGAATTATAATATTTCAGGAAAGCAGACATTGGGTTTCAATACAAGACCAACGTAAATACTGACCTTTATTTTGAATGTTGCTTCTTTAATTAAATTATTTTTCGAAAAACAAAATCTGTTCCTATTTCTTTACATATTAAAAATTTCAATCTAGAATATTTTTGTAATAATTAATAACGCATAACTTCCCTGTAGAAAAGATATCTGTTTTTCTTCTATAGATTGATGCCAAAATTGGCTGATAAAGCAATGGCCGTTTTCCAAAATTAACTGGTATTTCTAATTTGAAATTTTATGAAATTCGTTGGTTAATTGTCTAATGATTCCACTTTAGCAACAACAGGAGACTCATTTGGAAAAAAAGTGAATAATTCAAATAGAAATTATTTTTATTAGTCTGCTATTAGGTCTATTTGTTTATTTGTTTCTGATATTCGTGCGAAGCTTCACAAGGACTATCTGCATTAATTTCGAAATGATAGATTATAAGTATAGATTAAACAGCACCAACCGCTAACTCTTGGGCTAGCCTAATCGAATAATAGGATGTCGGTTCCGTTTTTATACGCCTAACACAATATTCACTTGTCGCAGACTCATAGCTTGGACAAAGATATACGTGTACGTGTGTGTATTCACTGTTTATATGATCACAAAATATGTTACAGGTGTGAGGCGCATCAGGAACATAAATAGAATCAGACAACTGTTCCACAAGTGTACCATGAAACAAATATAGAATCAAATTATCTGTTGACTCATGCACGTGTGGATTTTCCTTACCAAAATATATATATATATATATATATACAAAAAAGAAGAAGAAAAAAGCCGGGTTCTGCTTGTTGAAATCTATCAAAATGTTAAAAAATATTATTTTCGCGCTTCTTAAGTATTAAATGTTCATTTAATATGGGGTAGAGTAATTTTGAAAAAAGCTATATTGTAATTCATTAAAATCCGACATTTAAATTGGCATATTATGTAACTTTGCACATTTTTTCAACAGCAGCCACCTAGAACGTGATAAGTTTGCAAGAAGATTCTGATAAGCTGCAGAACGATAAAACATCAAATACATCTAGTAGCTTAAAGTAAAGATTCATCGTGATCTTGAGCCTGTACTGTTAACCCCCAATTAGTCATGTGGGGTCATTATGACCCCATGCAATTTCATTAATTAATTAATTATTATGTGATGGATGGAACTTTACTTAACCCCACCCACAGTAGCTTCCTTAATTGTGTCTGTCCATGTTGTGGTCTTCATCAGTGTTCTGCAGTTATAAGTTTTTTAAAAGTTTAGATTGGGATCATATTACCCTACGCGACTACTTGGGTAATAATTTTTTTTAAGATCAGTTTGTTTTTTCTGTGATTTGAATTTACTTTTTTTTAGTTTATCTCTTCTTTTCTGGCATTTTTTCTGTTTAATCACTTGTTTTAGATGATATCTAATTACTTCTTGTACATCTTCGTATTGTCACTTTGGCTTTTATTTTATACAGATGGCTAAAAAAGAACTTACCACCACAACAATACGTTTTAATATCGTAAGCCGTAATCTAAGCTTTTCATTGTTCTATACTGCTTACAAATAAAGGTTTGTACAAACAACAACAACATTTTATAAGAGTTTGAGCTTCATAATAATTTAAATAATCCATTAGGGTCATAATGAACCCAGGCGACTACATATGATCCATTTTACCACGCGACTAATTGAGGATTAAATTCAATTTCAGATCTGTTTATCATATTTCGAACATGTGTTGGCTGTCATATTTAGCATATATATGTATATACAATGCTAATTCTCCTCCAACTAGAGTATATGCCCACTATATTCAGAAACAATAAGTGTCATAGACTTAGCATTATGATACAAAATGTTGTTAAACCCCATTTAGAAAACTCAAAACTTGTAAACTTACAAGTTATTTCAATTGAAACATCGGTAACTTGCACTAAGTAATTTCTTAGATGGCTAATAAGCGAAATGTTGTTGTTTTCTAAGTACAAAGTTACACAATGGGCTATCTACTGAGGAAATGAGCTCTGGATGCACAGAGCTTTGAAAACACCAACAAAAAAGTTACATCTTCAAGTTACAGGTAATGAACTTTAACTTTAAATAAAGTAACATCATAACTAAGTAACTTAAAAAGTTTAATGCTATGATCAACACAAAATAATTTTTGCCATTTTATTTGGGAAATATATAACTTAGCTCATAATGATAAGTTATCTTATTTTGCTCTTTTTGGAGTTCGTTTTACGTTATTATGTTTCCTACCTTCACCCCTTGCATAATCCTTCAGGTTATGGATTTCGACTGAATATTATGTATTAAAAACATTGTTGCATATCATAAATCCATCTTCTAAACTTACAACCATTTCCGACAGCAGCAGTTTTTATGTTTTTAAACTTAAACGCCCGTATTTTTTATGTTTCTAATCTCTGGTTCTTGCGCTAATTGTCATATCTTTTAACTCGATTATTAGTATTAGTAAGAATTCTTTGTTTCCTAATTCCAATTTCTGGGAGGTAAGAATTACTTTCATGTTTTATAAGTGAGACTTGCATATTAAGAACGCCTTTTGAAATTTCAAGGCTCGTGTTTGAAATAAGTAATTTTATTTAACTACTTAAACTTAATTTTCTAAAATTACATGGAATTTGTGTATATGTAGACTTCATTATTTAGGTACCCACTCAACTTACGAACAATATGAAGTTTTGAGACACCTATTTTTATGATAATAAGGTACGGTTTGTCCTTGAAGAAGAAAGAAATAGCTTTCTAAAGCGCTCAGGTTATAGGGTTTCTTATCTTTGTGTTAAATTGCTTTTTTGAGCCTGTGTGTTTTCGTAACATTATGAACAAATCTGCAAAAGATATTTCTGGGTCATATTTTTCAATAAGTCTCTTAAAATTATTTGTCGACCACAAAATTATGGAGTCGTTAAAACGAACTACCTATGTAGCTACTCCAAATTTATGTAGTAAGATAATTAACTCAACTTCCATAGAAATATACAAATAAAATCGATATGTGATTTGATGGCTTCTACAAACTTTACAAAAAGCTTCATTTGATATCTATGAAAATTGGCTTTTGCTGCATAGTTCATGAAGGATACTTTAATGGACAGTACTTTTTGTACACAATGTTATTACACAGACATTTCACCATCTACTATAATATCTGGAATATAAAGAATCAATTATAACAATGTTTTTACAAACGTCAATAGATGGCTAAGAAATGGGATATAAAAATACGTTTCAAACACTTCTTAATCTCCTAAAAAAGAATAAGGCTTAGAATGCGAAATATTTCATTTAAATTATATGTAGCGGTAATAGGTGGTTATTTTTCTATCTTATTACTCAAACTCATTTTTGCTTTCCTTAATGGCCCGGCATAGCCAGGTGGTTATGGCGCTCGACTCGCAATCTGA